TTGGTTTTTAATTGCATGACTGTTAAAGAAAGTTACAAAAATGGCTGGAAGTTTGATATGCTCTTTGGTTAATACTTAGTTGTAGTTGTCATTTACGAATTCACATGTAATCACAAAGAAAAAAAAAAATCAGTTTTTGTAACATGCTTCAAGGAAGAAACTCAAACTAACGCACAACCCTATGAGACTTGAGCATATTATTTGTTTGGAGAGTTATTAATCTGTGATATTCTTGCTTTCTAAAGTCGTTGCATGATCTCATTATTTCTTTGCTTGGTTGCTACTTGGAATGTTTTTTTTTCATCATTTTAGTTCCAAATACTAGAACTCATACCCGTTTCATTCAAAGCATAAAATTAATTGCATAACAAATAACAAGATGAAGTTGTTTAGTTACCACCAAAGCCAAAAAGACTTATCCCTTGCATATGTATTGTAGGTTTAACCCCTTTGAGCTTTATTTAGCCTATTTTCTTTGTAAGCGTGTATTATCCCTACCTAGCCTAGTATAGTAATATCTATACTAGGTATCTACATTGTGTGTGCATTATTCCTTTTGAAGCGATCGACATTGTGTGTGCTAGGTATCTACAAAAACTTTTTTACTCTTAGAAAAAGAAAGAATAAAAAATATACTAAGTGAAGGCCTAAGTGCTAGGGCAGTGAGGCGCTCGTTTAGGTTGATCGAAAGCTTAATCAGTTTACAAGGAAACTTTATACCCTATCAATTGAAGGTTTGACAGTGGTGGTCCTCGCCAACATCAGTCTACATCAGCGACAACTAATAAGGCAAGATTCAGGGAAACAATTTAAGGTAACTATCGAATTCCATTGCTTCATAACGAAGAAAAGTACCAGTGTGGAGAAATAAACCTGAGGAGAATCGATGAAGAGAAGGTTGAAGATTTCTAGGTGCAGGTTCATCATCGTTAGAGAAAAGTGCAAAAACAGAGTTTCCGTTAAGTAGAAGATTGAGAATGAAGAAAGACATTTGGGATAAGTATATATAGACTAGAGTAACTGATCATATCTCTTAGAAAAGGGCACCAAATCGACTAAATCTTGACACATGGAAACTTAGTCGTATTGTTTTCAAAACAGAAAGGATGTGAAGAGACGTCACAGTGCATGAGATCGTGCCTGGCTGCAATGCATTCAATAAGAAGGTACCTCGTATACTCCGCCAGTCTGCCACTGACATGTACACCATTCGCATAAACATCCTACTCTGGACGAAACCTAGACGAGGCAGATCCGAGCGCCTAATAGGCTAACAAACATGGAGCGCTCGGCAGGAAAGGAACGCCCCAGGCACTCTTTCCAGCCAAGCATTATTTTAAGGTCCAATTGACCGTCACAACTTATGCCCAAGAAGGAACCTTTGGATAAGAAGTTATGGGGACTTGTTAATACAGGGTCTCTTTCGACCCTAAAAAAAAAGCAGGCTGGGAAAGAGACCGCAAAAGGCCGAATAAAAGTCAAAGCCCAAAAAAGAATAAGAAACCCAAGGCCCAATGGAATTAAAAAGAAGCCAGGTCCCAGTGCCAGTGCTGACCGCTAACCACAAGGCTTTAGGAGCAGGCCTACTCTGGCATCAATTAGGCCACATGTCAATCCCCACTCAAAAGCAAAAGTCAAGGACGAGATGTAAAGGTGGTTGGACTGCTGCTCGAAGTGACATCATTGACTAATCAGGGTCAAGCAAGTCACTCGGCATGTATCGATCTAGAAGGACGTTCCATCTCGACTAAGTAAACATCACTTCACCACCTAATGTCGACTGATGGTTAAAAAAGTTGTTAGCATGCTAGTCGATGTAGGTGACATATTGCTAAAAAAAGAAAGATTGGGTGAGCCAAAGGCTTTCTGGACTTATGAAGGGCCTATGTAAAGGGTGGGAATCTCTTGTAAGGGGTTGGACAACTAAAGGAAGATAGAATCATAGTCTTTAGCCAAGTGCTATTTGTAACCTATGAATCAATATAATCCGACTAACACATTGGATGTAGCCCAACTTTAAGGGTAATCCACTTAAATTTTGAGTCCATTTTATTTTAGTTTCAGTTCCAAGCACCGACTAAGGGTTAACAGTTTTAAGATTGTTAACCTGGAAATTTGGAGCACAACCAAAATTTTCAATTTAAAAAAAAACTCGGTGAAGCAGAAATAATTTTGATTTTTCGGTTGGTTCGATAATAGGCCAATCCATTTTTTTGGGAACCTGCAGTTCAACAACTTAGTTCTGCAATTGTCAAAATCACATTATTTTAATTAAACAGTCCACTTATAAATTTGATGAACTGTTTAACTTAATTATAGAGGGAGCGATTTATCCCCTGAAAACCCCAGGTAGAAAATCCAAATAGAATTTCAAAACTCAAACTTCAAAAACCAAAAATCAAATAAAATTATAGAGAGATTACATGAATCTTGGTATCTTACATTGTATTAGGGTCGCGGGTGGCGTTGATGGACTCGATTTACGCTTCAGATCATGAAGCTTCGATTTTGATTTTTGAATTTGGAGGTGGTGGTGGAGATGGTGGTGGAGATGGAGGTGGAAATCTAGAATATGGAGGAGATAGAGGTTTCGTGGTGGTCTACCACTCGACGTCGAAATGGATTGATGGTGGCGATGAGAAATGACGGTGGCCGGTATGCTGACAGAAAACGAGGAAGAGAAGATAGTAGAATGTAAAGACAGAGTCGAAAGATTAGAGAGAGTGTGTGCGAGAGAGAGAGAAAGTAGTTGGAGCGGTGGGTCTTTTATCCAATGGTTGAGATTTAATCTCAACCGAAGATATTGAGTTGAGGCCCCAATATCATTACCGAACTTTCGAGAATGTTTTGGTTTCGGTTAAGGTGGGCACTTGGAACCAAAAACCAAAACCGAACTAAAACATGAATCAATATAAACTGTATCGAATGGTTCGGTTTTTGCATTTTCAAAAAAGTTTATGTTTGAAATCAAACCGCAAGCTTAAAAAACAGTTTGATTTTGGTTCCTAATATTTGGAACCGAACCAAAGCCGAACTGCACTGCATAATATAAAAACCACATCGTAACATGCCCAGGCCTCCTAGAGAATCAGAGATAGAAACCAATTCGAGTCGTCGAGACTCCATCTATTGGACTTTCAACAGTTGGCATTCACACGGACACAGATGCTCGTGCTCGTTTTGTCCTTAACGTCATCCTCCCAGTTTGAAAACCGACCCATTATTTGTCCTCTATTTCACTACATATCGTGACCAAAGTCGATTTTCCTTCGCTTCTTTTCAGCTCCGATCCTCCGGCGTGCTAATATGTAAGAATTATGAACTTAGAACTTCTATTGTTAATTTATTAATATATTTGTGAATAATTGGAGGTGATTTGTGATTTTATTTTAGGGTTGGGGTTAGGGTTTATTTGAAATTTTGAATCAAGTAAAAGGACATCTTTACAGAATTTTGTTTTGTTCTTAACTGGGTTTTTTTTTTTTTTTTTTTTTATTGATGCTTAGTGATTTGAGTTTCTATCATTGGTACTCTGTTAGTAACTTAGTACATAATTAAACATTGTGATCGGTTTTACTTACACAAGGTTCAAGGTCTTTCCATGTTTGTTCACAAGCTCAAAAGCCTCCTAAACCTTGGAAGAGTAAGTATCCAAAACGAAAGGGAAAGGAAATGTTGAACGATTCAAATTAGTCTTGAAACACCAAAACTATTATGCTGAATTGTTAATGCCATAAGGCATTTTAACATAGAACTTTTTTGAACTTTGAAATGGTGAACTTAACTTTTCAATTTGATGTTGAACTTTGCTTCAATTGAGTTGTATTAATGCCATAAAGCATTTAGTATGCAAATGATTAGGTTTTGAACTTTTGAGTTTGTTTGAGTGTTGAACACTTGTTAGGCCCAAACTGAAATCAAAACTGTTTGAAACCAAAACAAACCAAAACTAAATGGTTTGGTTCCATTTCGGCAAAGCCCAACCAAACCCATTTTAGTTTCGATTTTGGTTTTACCCCAAAACTGCGCCGAACCAAACCGTGCTCACCCCTAATTTTAGTTATTAAATGATTTAGTATTATTAGTTTGGTATTTTTCGGGTCGGGTTTTTCGAGTTTTTTTCCTACCCTAATAATATACCTATAAAGGTAGTGTTTGGTGGACAACAATTGGCCGCTTATGCTTGGTTTAGAATGAATGTCAATCGCATCTCACCTTCAATCAACATCAGTATATATATCGAAGTTCACATTGAAATTGATATCAACAATTAGTATTAGTTTCCTTCTTAGCAAACTCATGTTCTTTACCTTCATGGATTTGACGAGGAGTTAATTTGGAAAAATCCAATTTGGTATATTTATGTTATGGTATTTTTGGTATTTTCTTATCATGGTTTTGTAGCATGATACTTTCCTAATATTTATTAAGGTTTAATCTCGTAATTAAGTTTTGCAAAATGTAGTCATTTTGAATTATGTAGTTGTCTTGGCAAATACATATAGTGTTTTCTTTCAATCAATGCAATAACAAATGGTGGTGCTCTATTTACTTATTTTTACTTTTCACACACTTTCAATTTCTGATTGTCAGATCGAATGAATTGAAGAGGTGTTGAAGATAAAAAGATAAAGACATATGTGTGGATAACACTACCCTAACATATAACTCCATATTCATCACACTTGACCAATAAAATCATCGCTTGCCAAGTGGAACTGAGCAAAACACATAAACAGAAAGGACACGAAAATTAGTTAAAAGTTAATGTTTCCACAAAAACAGATAGTGATTACTAATGCAAAAACAATTTTCTGGCAAGACGAAAACAAATCAGAATTTAATTAATTAAATTAAAAGATAATAATTAATTAAGAAGCACAAGCAGCAGAAATGTTCGGAATCGACTTTGCTATCTATGTCGCATTGCTTCTCGTTTTCTTCGCACAACAGCGTTGGGAAAGCCATCGATCGATCGATATCCCAACACTCCACACAGACAACCCTCCAAACCACATCCTCTATTTGGGTCCCCTCTCTCTCTCTCTCTCGCTCACAAACCCGCTCCGCTGTCATCAGCATAACCAATCACATCTGTCCCTAATTTATTTCAACCCTCCTTGTTCTCCTCTCTTTTAAGAGAAATGCCCGCTTTGTCTCTCCCGCCGGATATCTGACTTCCGACCGCTACATCATCTCCCTCTCTCTCATCCACCTCCGCCCTCGCTGCTATGGGCCCCCACCACCACTCTCGCCGCGAGTCCCTCTGCAGCTCCCTTCTCGCACCCCGTCCCGACTACCACGACTGTGACCGCGACCTCGTCTGGCCCTTTGGCAAGCTTGAGGGCATCGACCGCGATGACGTGCGTGAGACCGCGTACGAGATCTTCTTTACCGCGTGTCGTTCTTCCCCTGGATTTGGAGGACGGAACGCCCTCGTGTTCTACTCCAACCACCACGATAACAACAGCAGTAATAGTAATGGTGGGGAGGGGAGCGGGTCCGGATCGGGGTCGAAGGTAAATGGGGTGGTGACAACGCCGACGAGCAGGGTGAAGCGGGCGCTCGGGCTGAAGATGCTGAAGCGGTCTCCGTCGAGGAGGATGGCGTTGGGCGCCGGAAATGGTGGATGGTCAAGTCCCTCCTCGCCGAACGCATCAAATAGTGGTGGCTCCCCCGGAATGTCGTTCACCTTGCCGCCCTCAAGGCCGAGGCGGCCAATGACATCCGCCGAGATTATGAGGCAGCAGATGAGGGTCACGGAAGGCAGCGATAATCGGCTGCGGAAGACGCTCATGAGGACCCTAGTAGGCCAAGTACGTATTCATTTCAATTTTGATATCTTCATGCATGTAAATGTGCTAAATGCATGATAATTAATTATGGAGAAATTAGATTTCTATCCCCATTTTTGCTACTTCATTAATTAAAACTTTATTACTTTTCAACTTTTTATCAAGGTCCATAAGTTTTAATAAATGCCATTAATTATTTTAATAATAAAATATTTTTTAATTTCTAAATATATTCATTTAGTATTATAAATGTTACATTTTAGTATATTTATATGTATGGCTAAATTTTTTATCATATATTTTTATTAGTCAATACCCATTTTTAATTTACAACCCTTTTTAATTGGGAATTTTAACGAAAAGCTCATGGTACTGTTCACTTTAACGAAAAACCACATTTTTACACTAAAAAGTCAATCATGGTACTATTCACTTTACCATTTATTTTGTCCTTATATTTAAAACTCAAAGTTTTCAAGTCATTTTCATTAGTTTTCCTTTTTTAATTTGTACCAATTTTCTTTTCATTTTTAATTTGTACCCATATATTAATTTCTTTTTGTGCCCATATCTTTTTTAAAGTTTTATTTGTATTTGTGCCCATATTTTTTAAATTTATTTGTACCCATTTTCAATTGTGCTAAATGTACCCATGCTAATTATATATATTTATTTTGGGGAGACTTTGGATATGGTCCTTAGCTATGAATATTCTTTGATTAAAACCTTGTTGGTTTTTAATTTTTGATCGAGGTCCCTGAAATTAATGTGATAATTTATTTCTATGTACGTTACTATATTTTTTAAATTAAAAATTAGAAATTTTAGTTGTTTATATAAATGAGATTTTAAATAAAAAACCATAATTTGTGGGATTAAAAATATTAAAATATAAATATACTATTGTGTGTGTGTATATATATAAACATGGGTACATTCATCAAAATTATCCAAAAAAATTATTGTATCAAAACATGGGTACATTCTTCAAAATCACAAAAAGAGAAGAAGAAGAAGATATTAGACTTAATAACAGTAGTAAATTTCTTAGATTAAACTTGACATGGATACATTTTAAAATCAAAGAAAAAAGAATTAATGTACCCATATAACTTTAAAAATGGATTAGAAAAAAATTGAATAGATTTTATATAAAAAAAAGGTACATTTTACATATAACAAATTGATATATTTAAGAATGAGTACATTTTTAGATTTAAAAGTTTTACATGAATGGGTGCATATAATTAGCACGGGTACATTTAGCAAAATAAAAAGTACAGATAAAAAAAATATGGGTACAAATACAAATAAACTTTAAAAAATATGGGCACAAAAAGAAATTAATATATGGGTACAAATTAAAAATAAAAAGAAAATTGGTACAAATTAAAAAAGAATTACAAATTGAAAATGGGTACAAACTAAAACTAAAAATATCTGATAAAAAAACTTAGTCATAAATATAAATATACTAATTGTAACATTTTTAACATTAAATGAATATATTTAGAAATAAAAAAAAATTTATTATTGAAATAATTAATGATGTTATTAATACTCAAGGATCTTGATCAAAAATTGAAAAGGAATAAGATTTTAATCAATGGAGTAGTAAAAAGAGGGATGAGAACCTAATTTCTCCTTTATTTTATGTAATGTATCAGTAATTATTTTTTTAAATATGTTAATAATTATGTGGGTACATTATTTTCTTGCTATAATTTTGTGAAGGACAATATTACTTTAATATTTATTTTTAAGTATTTATTATATTTTGAAAGTATTATTTGAATTTGTTTAAATTTTATAATTTGTGGGACATTAAATGCATAATGTATGAGTTAAATCTCTTAAATGATGTTAAGGACCTCGATCAAAATATTTAAACAAACAAGATTTTAGTCTAACAATTAGGTTGATTAGGGACCGCAACCAAAATGACTCATTAATTAATGAATGTAAATTATAAAATTTAGCACAAAGCGATCTAATGAATTAACAAGATATAGGGTTACTCAATTTTAAAAGGTAAGGTAAGGATTTGTTTTGTGGATTTGAAAATTGGGAATAAGCATGAAAATCACACATGAAGTTCTGAATCCCAAAGTAAAAGTTTGGTTTCTCATTCTCATCTTGTTTAATTTGACTTGTAACAAACAATAATGGATGAGAATGTTATATTCCGAAGTTTTTTTTTTTAAAATCTCGTAGTTTCTTCAAAACTCATTATATAAACCATTACTTTTATGACTTGTGACCTGATCTGTAAATATGGTACAAACAATTTTACAATGTCGGAAAGTATGATGCATCATGCATGTAGCACTACTTCATTGACATTGATCTTGGTCGGTAATTAATCATGTCCTCCCCAATATATGATCACAGATGGGTAGGCGAGCAGAGACCATAATTCTCCCACTAGAACTCCTTCGACACCTAAAGCCATCCGAATTCAACGACTCCCACGAGTACCATTACTGGCAAAAGCGGCAGCTCAAGATCCTTGAAGCCGGTCTTCTTCTCCACCCTTCAATCCCACTAGCCAAGTCCAACACATTCGCTTTGCGTCTCAGAGAGATCATCAGAGCGGGTGACACCAAAGCCATAGACACAGGAAAGAACTCAGACACCATGAGAACCCTTTGCAACTCTGTAGTCTCCTTATCGTGGCGTAGCTCCAACGGAACTCCAACAGATGTTTGTCACTGGGCTGATGGCTACCCCCTCAACATCCACCTCTATGTTGCTCTCCTGCAATCAGTCTTCGACATCAGAGACGAGACACTAGTATTAGATGAAGTCGATGAAATGCTCGAGCTGATGAAGAAGACATGGTCGACATTGGGGATCACTAGGCCAATACACAATGTGTGCTTTACATGGGTGTTGTTTCAGCAATACGTGCAAACCGCACAGATTGAGGCCGACCTTTTGTGTGCTGCCCATGCTATGCTTGCAGAAGTGGCAAACAATGCCAAGAGGCCGGATAGGGAGGTTATGTATGTCAAGATTTTGTCTTCGGTGTTGAGCTCAATGCAGGGGTGGGCGGAGAAGAAATTGCTTCGGTACCATGATTATTTCCAAAGAGGGACAGTTGGCCAAATTGAGAACCTTCTCCCTTTGGCCTTGTCATCCTCCAAGATCTTGGGTGAAGATGTTACAATCACAGAGAGGGGAAGAGGAGGGAAAGGTGAAATAAAGGTGGTGGACAACTCCGGTGACCGCGTGGACTACTACATTCGATCTTCAATGAAACAAGCTTTTGCAAAGGTTAATATGCTGCAGCCCATTTGCTTCTTTGACACGCTACTTATTATTATATACGAGTAATGTTCTTTTACCAGATAACCGGCATGTTATGTTATCAAACTGTAAATCAGGACTAGACACGATTTCACAATTTGGTAAAATAACAGGCCAATGTGACAATAGGCATTTCCCATTGCACCGTACAAATGTAATTGTGATATGCTTCTCATCTTTAATTTTTTCTGTAGATTATGGAAGCTGGGAATGTAACTGAAGTGGCAGAAGATGCCGTGACTGAAACCTTGCATCAGTTAGCTAAAGAGACAGAGGAGTTGGCCTTGAAAGAGAGGGAAAGCTTCAGTCCCATACTCAAGAGGTGGCACACAACTGCAGCTGGTGTCGCGGCCGTGACACTTCACAACTGTTACGGAGCTGTGTTGAAGCAATACCTAAATGGGGTCTCCACGCTTTCAGGTGATACAGTTGAGATATTGCAAAGGGCAGGAAAACTAGAAAAGGTTCTGCTCCAAATGGTGGTTGAGGACTCTGCTGAGTGCGAAGATGGCGGCAAAGCAATTGTTAGAGAGATGGTTCCGTACGAAATTGATTCCATCATAATGAACCTCTTGAAAAAATGGATTCATGAGAGATTAAAGAGAGGGAAAGAGTGTGTTCACCGAGCGAAAGAAAGCGAGGTATGTTTTACGCTTTCTTTATAACTGCATTTGATAAAAATCTATGTTTGAATTTGAGCTTAAGTGAACAAGGTATTTGTGTTGCAGACATGGAATCCAAAGTCCAAATCGGAACCTTATGCGCAATCAGCTGAGGAGCTAATGAAATTGGCCAAGGAAACCGTGGATGACTTCTTCCAAATTCCGATAGGAATTACTGAAGATTTAGTTCAAGATCTTGCTGATGGGTTGGAGCATGTCTTCAAGGAGTATACTTCATTTGTTGCGTCTTGTGGTAAGAGCCGTTATTTCATATTAGGGATCGGTAATTTTTTTTCTAAATAAATTTATGCCATGTTATATTTCGGTACAACTTTAAGATTCTTGTGACGTTTTGTGTTGATCAAAGTATATTCCTTTCTCAGGTTCGAAACAGAGTTATATCCCCACACTTCCTCCTCTAACAAGATGCAATCGAGACTCGAAGTTCCTCAAGCTGTGGAAAAAAGCTAGCCCTTGTAGCGTTGGAGCAGAAGACTTTCACCCAAACGGAACAAATGAAGGTCACCATCCTCGCCCATCAACGAGTAGAGGAACACAACGCCTCTACATCCGCCTAAACACTTTGCACCATCTCCTTTCCCACCTTCATTCTCTTGACAAAAACCTCTCCCTCTCACCTCGCATCATTCCTACAACACCTCGAAGTCGTCATGCCAATAACCGCAAGAGTCAAACCAACGCCTCTTCCTACTTCGAACTTGCACAATCAGGCATCCAATCTGCCTGCCAACATGTCTCAGAAGTAGCTGCCTACCGCTTGATCTTTCTCGACTCAAACTCAGTCTTCTATGAGAGCCTCTATGTTGGTGATGTAGCCAATGCAAGAATAAGACCTGCGTTACGAATTCTCAAGCAGAATCTCACTCTCTTGGGAGTAATTCTCACAGATAAAGCGCAGGCCTTGGCAATCAAGGAAGTAATGAGGGCCTCTTTCGAAGCATTCCTCATGGTTTTGGTTGCTGGAGGAAGCTCCCGGGTGTTTTATCGAACTGACCATGAGATGATTGAGGAAGATTTCGACAGCTTAAAGCGTATTTTTTGCACTTGCGGAGAAGGGTTGATAACCAAGGATGTGGTGGAACATGAGGCAGAGACAACAGAAGGGGTGATAGAGCTGATGGGGCAATGTACTGAACAACTAATGGAGGATTTCAGCATTGTGACTTGCGAATCAAGCGGGATTGGAGTTGTGGGATCAGGGCAAAGGCTGCCAATGCCTCCGACAACAGGACGGTGGAACAGATCAGATCCAAACACATTATTGAGGGTGTTATGCCACAGGAATGACAAAGCAGCAAACCAATTCTTGAAAAGGACATTCCAGCTAGCGAAGAGGAGATGATGGGACTAATTTTTCATGTACATGCGGAATCAATGTGTTTGTATCTGCGGTGCATTCTAGTACTAACTTCTGGCATTGTAACGAAAAAAGAAACATTTGAGGCAAAAGTGAGGGGGCGCATTGTATCCAAGTCTACTGAACTTTTAATGCCAAACCAAATATATTGCTGGGGATCGCAATGGAGAGATGATTGTACAAATTTGTCATCGTTATTTGTAGGTATTGGTTGTTAATCCTCATGCCCGATTGGGACAAGCTGTATTGTACCACAGCCGTTGCGCTCAAATGGAGTTTCTGAAGTTCATTTTTTGCAAAACAAATCAACTTACACCATTATTTGTCTGCAAAACCTAAACAAATTCAAGAGCTGTTTCTGTTAAGATATGTTAAGATATTTAAGCTGTTCTTCTCTTTATTTAATTTTTACACACACACACTCGCGCATATATATTGATATATATTTCAGCTTCTGTATTCGTAGTTAGATACTTGCAAGCATTTGAAACATTTATATTTTCTCTTTCCCATTTCATTGACGATTTATAATACAATCAAACATACACAAAGCTGAGAACAATCAAGAAGGTCACCCTTTACCCTTTTATCTTCAATTTCTGTCTCATAACTCACTTGTTATTCGACCTTTTCTTGAATCACCTTCATTGGATGCTTTGTACGTCGTCTCCCTCAATTCTTCCGTGAGCACTTTTATCGAATCTGAAATTTCAGCCTTGTACACATACATCTTAGTCATAAACAAGAAGAAAATAACGTTGAAGACGTTTAGTACCGCGAAAAATGCATAGTAGTAATCGAGATGAGAAGCATTAAGGTTGTTCAGAATCCATCCTTTGTGGCCATGCTTTTTGGTGATGTGAGAAACTGTCGAAAGAAGGAAGCTACTAATAAAGTTTCCCATTCCTAAAGTGGTCATGGCAAAAGAAGTCCCAAGGCTCTTCATATTTTCAGGTGCTTGGTCGTAGAAAAAGTCAATCTTCGCAACCTCCAGAAAAGCATCAGCTGTTCCCATAAGCACAAATTGAGGAAGTAAAACCAATATAGTGATGGGAACTTGTCCTCCGCTCTCGACTACTCCATGTTGCTTTGCAAGATGAAGCCTGTACCTTTCGGTTAGAGATGCAACGACCGTAATGAAAACGTGGAAGACCATTCCAATTCCCATTCTTTGGAGGAGAGTGATTCCTCTAGGGTTTTTGGTCACTCTTTGCATGATCCTGACAAAGAACCGGTCATAGAGCACGACGCTTACAAGCATGGAGAGCGTCACAAATCCGGCTAAACTTGCACGGGGGATTTTGAAGCTTCCGAGTGATCGATCGAGGGTTGTGCCTTGTATGACAAATAGGGTATTAACCTGTGCAATCATAGTGCTTGGTATAAATGTGGCTGCCAAGATTGGAATCATTCTTAGCCTTTGCTTGGTCTCTTCTACTTGGGTTACTGAGCATAGCATCCATGGACTAGTTGAGCTTGTTTTCACAGCAGCTTTGTTGAGGAACCTGCATGAGTGTACACATTAATGTGGTAGTTGGGGACGTAACCAGGATGACAGCAATGTGGGAGGACTCGGCGGTGTTGTTAGGCTAGAAGTTTGTGCTAAGCTAGAGTTAAGTTGAACAGGTATCTTCACACACGAAAGTTTAGAAGATAAAAAGTATATTGGGTCTTTGTGGAGCTCGTTTAGCCCTCCGTTTAGTTCAGTCCTTAATAGTAGTCTAGATAGTATAAGTAATTGTTTAACATAAATGCATGTACCCAAACCTTAGGGTTGGGGTGGAATCAATCCTGAAATTTCCCTTCTTTGGGTACTCCTTCAAGTTAAACTCATCGAGCTCCTTAGGGTCACTAGGGAGAGTCACCCTCCATTTCCTCAACGCAGCCACTGGGACCTTAGCCATCCTTGTGAACAGTGGCGAAGCCAGGATTTCTCGAGGGGAGGGGCGAACTTAAAAGGGTGCAAGGTTAAAAAAGATGGCAACAACTAAATCTTTTTATATAGTAATGTCTTCCAAAATTAATCAATACAAACAAATTACAATTGTTGTCGGCGAGGTTTCATGTCATAAGAACGTCGCATAATAGGCTCATTATCAATAAAAGAAAATACATATCTCTCAATGTAAACAACCATGCTATCACTCAATCATTGATCTCCCATTTTGTTACGCAATGGTGTTTTCACAATCTTCATAGCAAAAAAAGCTCTCTCCACTGAAGCGGTTGCAACCGGTAACACCAAAGTCAATGTAAGAAGCTTATACACTAACATATAGCTCTCACACCTCCCGGTCTTCACTAACTCTTTTGCAAGATCTCTAATTCCTCTCAATGATGAAAACTCACTATGCATCTTCATATCATGAATGTAATTGTCAAGTTGAATTGGAAGATTCATATCATCCAACTCAGTAACCTCACTTTGTTGTGCATTACCCGGAATACTAGAAGGAAGACTACTCGGAATATTTGAAGGTGGAGGAGGACTACCCAGAATATTTGAAGGAAGAGGAGGACTATCCGGAATATTTGGAGAAGGATTTAAGCACTGTTTCTTATAATATCGTTCCATTACGTAACTGTATAACAAAAGAAAAACAAATATATCTTAGACTCTTAGTCCTAGAGTAGACTACGACTTTAATTAATCAGTACCAACAATCATATGAATAATCAAGAATTCAATTTTTATCCTAGAGTAGAGTCTGTAGACTACGAGTCTACGAATGTAATTAATAAGTACCAACAATGCATTTGAATAAGGGTTTTGGTTGGTTGAATTGGGGTTTATTATGTTAATGTAAATATGATGTAAAAGTCTTCACCAATCACCTCTTTTATGTACTTCAAAAAAAAATATATCAATAATCATAGTATTCATATGAATAATCTATAATCAATAACCATATAATGTATAACTCTATAATCCTACATCAATCAAACAAAAATTTGTATTCAATAATCAATTAGGGTTTGAAATAAATTAAAATTTTACCTTAATTGGAGGCGTGGCGAGTCAGTGATCTTGGACAGTTGGACCTGGGGCTGGTGGCAACCAACGAAACGGGGTGGCTGCTTGTGTTCTTGGGATTTGAGACAATTTTGGAAAGTGAAATTTGGGAGGGAAGGGTTTTGTCGTGTGGGGAGTAAAGGGGAGTAAAGGTGGGGGAGTAAAGTGAAATATGGGAAAAGGGTAGGGATAATTGAAACGGGTGGGATTGGAATGGGGATGGGGACCAGTGGTCCCCCACTTTGTTTTTTCTTTTAATTTTCTTATACAATAAACGACGCCGTTTAACAAAAAAATTTAAATTTTTTTTACCAGGCCCAAAACGACATGTCGTTTTGGCCTGGATTTTAAAATTAAAAAAAAAACCCTGCGCACAGTGCAGGTTTCTGGTTTCACAGAACCACCGCGATTCCCAGTTTCCGGGCGAACCAGGGGGGTTCAAGCGTCGCTCCTGACTTTGTTTTCCGGCGAGCGGAGGGGCGGCCGCCCCCCTTCGCTCCTATGTAGCTTCGCCCCTGCTTGTGAAGGGACTTGCACTTGGCAACTTGTGCCTATAAAATGGTGTGCCATCTAAGAAAATCAAAATAGATATGAGAAGCCCAAGAGTGGGAAGCCCATATCCCAAGGCCCAGCCCACATTGTCCTGAATGTAGACTAGCACAGTGTTGGCAAACAGCGTCCCGAAGAAGATGCTAAACATCCACCAATTGAAGAAGGAAAGCTTATGGTTCTTCTCCTTGGGTTCAAAATCGTCAAATTGGTCTGCTCCAGTGGTTGAGATGTTGGGCTTGGTCCCACCTGTTCCAATGGCAAGAGTGTAGAGGGCCCCATAAAACACAGCTAAATGGAGGGTGGAGGCCTTATTGCAGTTTTCCACATGGGGATCTTGCAGGGAGGTGGTTTGAGGGAAGGGAGTGAAACTGCTAGGGTTAATACAGACATTCCCTGCAAAATATTCAAAATTTGCTAATCAACATGCATATTTCCTGTGTAATTTTATTCATAAACATGTATCGTAAACATTGCCACGTAGTTAGTATTCTACTGTTATAGTGTGAAGAACGACATGGTTGAATGTTCTACTTCTAGTGTATGTTATTAAAAGAAACAAAAAGAAAAAACAAATATACGTGTATAATTTAAGTAGAATAATAACATCACTAACAATAATTCAAACACACGTAAAAATTGTTGCCTAACTAATTAATTAGGGTATTCAATGAGATAATCCAACTGTCATGAACTAATATCAATCGTTGATTGTTTTTTTTAAGGAAAAAACTACATTGGATGAATTTAGATTTTCTTTTTAAGATACAATATTCTCTACACTAAGGAGGAGGATTGGACTTAGCCTCACAATGGGCTAGCAATAATGTAGTTCAAATTTGTTTTTGGCAAGATTCGAACCTAGGACCTCTCACTTATAAATGAAAAAAAAATGCCAAACTGTAATATTAAGTGGCCCCAACCAGATATTGTAACGTCTGTAAATGAAGCTGGAGCTCTGTAAATGAAGCTTTCGAAGCTGATTGACATGAGTGATGCTCATGAACGTTTATGTTGATTGACATGAGTGATGTTCATGAATGTTGACATGAGTGATGTTCATGAATGTTGACATGAGTGATGCTCATGAATGTTTATGTGTGATTGACATGAGTGATGCTCATGTATAATTTTGGAGTACTGGATGTACTTTTGATCACCTGGTTAGTGATAATAGCGATAGGCAGCCGAATAATTTTGGAGTACTGGACGTACTTTTGATCACCTGGTTAGTGATAATAGCGGCAGGCTGCTGAATAATTTTGGAGTACTGGACGTACTTTTGATCACCTGGTTGGTGATAATAGCGGTAGACTGTTGAATAATTTTGGAGTACTGGATGTACTTTTGATCACCTGGTTGGTGATAATAGCGGCATGCTGCGGAATAATTTTGGAGTACTAGATGCACTTTTGATCACCTGGTTGGTGATAATAGCTGCAGGCTGCCGAATAATTTTGGAGTACTGGACGTACTTTTGATCACCTGATTGGTGATAAAAGAAGGTGAACCTTAAGTGGAGGGATGGAGGTTGGAGTTTGAAGCCATAGAGCCTGACTCTTTTTGGCATATGAGCATTCGCCCTCCACATAACATTTCAGCCCACTATTTTGGGCCCACTATTTTGCCTTTTTTGTTTGTTTTTTTTTTTGGCATGCTGCCTTCTTTATACATTAGTATAACTATATAATAATTGCTACAGTTTGCAGAAGACAACTTAATAAAATATTCATCCCTGACAGTGGGTATGGGTGTGCCATGCTTTCCACTTTCTCCTCGGCTTTTCTCCATCTCCAGACATCT